TCTGGTTCCAGCACAGTTAAGTGGGGCCACTTGAAACTAACTGGTCCTTGAGTTTGGGCTTGTCTACAGAGAAGTTATTGCAATTATAACTTGTTATTAATGAAATATAGTCCAAGCATTATGGTCATAGCTAGGATTGATGAAATGTGGATTCTGTATCAGGCACTGTGCTAAGCACCTATATACCCCTTTCCTTCTCATAACAACCACATCAATTATAATAGTCCCATTTTATGGATGAGCAAATAAAACTCAGTCTTACTCCATAACTGCCTACAATGCTGCAGCTAGCACGAGGTAGAGGCGGGCAGCCTGATCTCACAGCCTGTGCCCACCATCCTCAGGGCTGAACTTGACTTACTGATGTTGACCTCTCCATCTAAAGGAATCTGGCCTGTTCCCATCTCCACTCAGAGGGTTCAGAGAAGGGCCCTATTCTGTGCCTTGTGTCATCCCTGCCTCGTCCCACCACAGCTGGTTGGACCGGAGGTAAAAGACTGACAAAAAGCCAGCCAATCAATAGACTGGCTTATGACCTCTGATGTGGCCTAGTACCCACCACACACACCCCCCCCAAAAGCGAAGACTATCAGATTCCTTTTCGGAATTTAGACTAAAAAAAATACCACCAAGGTATTTAGCTTTGAGAGCTTAGGATAAAATGAAGCCATGAGGTCAAGTCAGGCTGTGAAGTAATCAGGCAGCAGTGAATATGAATAAGCACACAGGTGCATTTGGTAGAGAAAGCCTCAGAGAACATACAAGAGCAAAGGAGAGGGGTCATGAGAAATGGAAAAAGTAGCCAGTGGCCCACGATGTTTTTCTGGTTCCAGTCCACGGGGATCCTGTTAATATATAACATGAGAGTGAAGTGGGATAATTTATGTAAATCACCAGCAGATGCCTGATTCATAGTTAAGTGATCGATACAAGTCAGCACTGTTATGATGTTTATTATTATTGGAATTTTAATGTGATTTGCCTTTTATTTGGAAGATTAAAAAAAAAATCCTCTCATTCCCAGTTTACCAAGGTACATACAGCTAGGGAGATGAAAAGACATATTCTTTCTTTTATCATTGAATTAGATTCCTTAATTGTTATAATTTATAATTCAAATTTTAGCTTATGATTCTTAGTTTTCTTTCGGATCGATTCCACACCCACTAATGAACTATCATGGTAGAGCAATGGGGAGCTATTCCCATAATCTGTTTTCCTCCAATCCCCCTTCAGATGCTAATGAGAAGTACCATGGAGACATCAGCCATTAGTATACATGGGCTGGTATAAATCACGGACTATGGATCATTGAGCATCTTTGTTGTAAAACAAATGGCCTGTGGTCAGTTAATCATACAAAGAAACATCTCCAGGGCCTCCTGGTTTTATTCATAACCCCTAAATCCGGTTGCAGTTTTATAAACAGAACATCTGTTAAAATATGCAGAAATTACAGCCACAGTCATTAGCAGGAAGCTATATAGCTTTGGCAGATTTTTTTTAAGCTTTTGATGGTAATCTCCTCTGTCTGTGATTCATGCTTTATTCCCATTCTTGCTGAATCTCTTTTGTTCCCCTCTGTTCTTTTGGGTTATAGCACTTTTCACCCAAGACTGAAAAGTGGACATGTGTTGTCCCAGGCTCAGTTGGCACTGTGCCATTCTGCAGCATGGGAGAGTAACTGTAGCCCAGCCTTGCAAAACCATGTATTTCAGGGATGCAATATGCATCGCCTCAAGTAGCCTGAAGGTGAGAAATCCCAATTGGCTTCACACTTGTTTTACTGGCTTTGGACTCTCGTAGTACTGGCATTTAACGAAAGTGAACAGAACTCCCAACCAGCACTGCCCCAAATTTCTCATTTTCTCTTAGTTTCCCTCTACGCTTCGCACCCCTCCCCCCACTCTTAGTTAAAATCTTTACTGTGTTCATATTTAAATTAGCCTGGTAGAGTTAACCTCTTAAAATAAAGACCAGGAGAAGTACAGATAGCCAGGGAACAAGATTTGTCCTAATAACCTAGATTGCCCCCTTCCTTGTTCAGTGAAGAAATCATTATTCCACCTAAGAACTAGAGAATAGGTAAGTTTTCTTTAGCAGTGGCTTTGTTCTGTCTGCCACGGAATGGGAATCAGCAACCATTCCCTACGGAAATTGAAAAGTCACCTCTGAGTACTCAGTGTGTCCATCACCTATCCTTACATATAAGGTTTTATAAAGTCCCAAAGTCAGCCTGGTTAAGCCTGAATAGATCTTTCTTAATGGGCCCACAAGGAAAAAGAAGACAATGTGGTAAAGCTGCTAAGAGAACCAACTCTGGGATCAGACAGACATGGACCCGAATCCTGGGTCTGGCAGTCATTAGCTATATCCCCTAGAGGAAGTTAACTCGTGAAGCTGCAACTCTCCATCTAGAATACTCATGCCTGCTTCATAAAGTTGAGACGATTCAAGGAAAACCCAAGCAAAGCACCTAGCCACAGGCCTGGCACATTGTCAGTTACCGAGTAAATACTCATTTTTACTGTTGTTATTTTTTATTTTTGTACTTAGTACCAGCACATGGTTCGATTATGTTAGGTGTTGATTTTAACCTCACTAGAACTTTCTTAAGTACTTACATAATTTAAAGCAATTCATTTGCTCAAGAATATTTCCTAAGCACCTGCTCTGGGCTCAGTGCTCTGTAGAGTAAGGCTTGTGAAGATTGATCCTTGCAGGCATCTGTCTGTAAGGAGCTCGTTGGACAAATCAGCACAGAATGTGTTGGAGGGAAGATCTTAAGGACCATGCAAGTTGTGGGTAAGAGAAACATAACCACCTGGGAAGGCTTCATGTGGGAAGCTAGGGGAAGCCGGGGTTACAAGAGGCATGACACATCTCTCCAGTGGTGTGCTGTAGACGGGGAGGTTAAGTCTCTGTGGAAGATGAGAAACTGAAGTGGAATGAGACAACAGTGAGGACAGGTGGGGTAACAGAGGCAAGGAATGGGCCAGTTTGCCTTCTGAGGGAATCAAAAAGGATTGGAGGGGAAAAGCCAATCAGAAGATGGAAACCGGACTCCCCAAAACCCTGCAGAAACTGAGGGATCAGAATGGAAAGCTCCCGAGAAGGAGACTGAAAATCAGAGGACTGCCTGCGGAGGGCGGAGTGGTCACGAAGGGAGGCTCCCCCAGAGACGGATGGCTTGTTTGTCCGTTTCCAGGCCTGCAGCCCAGAGAAGCGCTGGTTCTCTTCTGGATTCGTGGCATGTCCCAGTGCTTGTGGCTACGCGGCTCCCGCTACCCTCGGAACTCCAGGGGCGTGTCTTAAGGCAGCAGCTCTCTGAGCTTTCCAAAGGGAAATTGCAGTCATGCGTTAGAGTCCTCAGTGCCAATTAAAGTGTCAGGCTCTGAAACAAATACGGTTAACAAAGATGGGGATAATGTTTTAAAATTAGGTTCTCAGGAGTCCCCCATTAATTTGGAGCTCACAAGACAGTGACTGCGTGTTCAATAAATACCATCTGATGACAGTAACGGCCAGTAGTGCGAGATGCCCAGCAGATAGCTCTCTTCAAACATGCAGGTGCAAATATATCCTGTGATATCGCACTCACCATGAAGGCAGTGTCTTTCAGCTTTACAGCTCTTAAAACATGAATCCCTCCAGAGGCCAGGAAGATGGGTGTCGTTGTCTTCCTCCTAACAGTATAGAAAAGAAACAAAGCAAGAGAACTGGTTTTAAAAATTAGGAGGGTGGATTCACTATATACAGATGCACTGTATAAGGCTCAGTACACTCACAAGCACTGCATAATTAGGTAAATTGTGTAAATACTCAGAGGTGGTTAGTGGGGTGACTTGTGGAAATGAAAAAATTAGCAATAGTGGCATGGATTTTTTAAAAAAGCAATTATTTGCTTTCTGTGATGACAAGAATCTGCAGATGGTGCATCCTCAAGTTCTTGAGCGTCCTGAAACCCTTTGAAGCATGGTTGTATTCACACTACAAATAATAGCCGGTAGGATGTACATGAGAGACCTTTATTCTATTGATTGCAATTGGAACAGTACCTGTTATTGTATGGATCATGGTGCATCGTCTCCATGGTAGGAGAACATAGCAGGGGTGTCGAGAACTAACAAAGAATTCACTCTGAAGATGCTCACAAGAGCTGATTTGCAACTCCACCTTGAAAGGTGTAGTCCCTTTGGGAGAGGGGCACAGGTTGGTGAAGTCAAACTGATCCCATTGCCAACAGTTCTCCATCAAGTTACTGTGTCTACTCCAGAAGACCAGAGTAGACCTTGGCTAATGCAGCAAGTGCAAGATGAGTGCAATCACCAGGAATCCATGGCCTGAGTGAAAGCTTGTGCTTCTTGGCCAGGTTTAGGAGCTGAAGGACATTGAATGCCTTCTGAAAATGCCTTTTACCAATAAAGGCTTCCTGCATATGACTTGATTAGTTTCATTTTCTACCCTGGGCTTGTAGATGGGACTACCCAGATGATACATTTGTTCATTTGTTCAGCAAATCCTTATTAAGCATCAGTTATGAGCCAGGTCCTTTGCTAGGCATTTGTTGGTAAAATAATGTGTTCCATAGGTTATCATTATCTTGACTTCAGGGATCTTGTGTTCATTGCCTGTTTCCCCCAAGGCACTTGGCACAGTGTATGACATATAGGGGGCATTCCCTGAAGGGAAACGGAGAGAAAAAGTCAGTCATTTGCAGCTACCAGAGCAGTCAGATGCCAGGGAAGCAGCATTGTATCTCCCAGTAACCTCTACCTGTCCCGTAATAAAAATGGCATGGTACATGGTGAGACCAGGTGGGTAATTTCAAGTTCTGCTTACTCCAGGACTCTGTCATTATTTAATGGCTTGGCTAAGGGATAACTGGTCATATACAGATTTGGAAGCAGGGGAGCAGATCACTGGAGTGCACCCACTTCCCTGGCACATGTGGACCCATCATGAAGATGTCCTTTGTTTCTTTTCATTCCTCGATTTAGTAAGAAGATGATGCCACTGCATTTCTGAAATCCTCTTCAGATGTTAGATCATTGCAGTGCCATTTTTCTGTGGGTGTTATATTCCATCGGTGTACCATCATTCGAGTCAGCAGCACAACCACTGAATGAGCGCCTGCAGTGGAAGAGGTAAAGCAGACACTTGTCAGGCAGCAGCTGGGCAACTGAGTGCCGTAGCAAAATGCACAGTGGCCGAAGTTGGGGGAGCCTGTGTGCTTCCCAATGAGCATGTGCATCGATAAAAATGATAGCCTCTTATGAGGGCAGAGTATTTGTTGTAGGCAAGACACTATGCTAGTAATGTTATGTGTATTATCCCATCTAATTTTCTTAACATTCCTTATAAGGTGGATATTTGTACTAGCTCCAGTTATAGATGAAGAAACTGAGGATATGTTCACAGCCATGCAGCTAAGAGTTCACGATCTTAATCACTACAACTATATTGCTGCGTAAATGTTTAATACAACATGGTTAAAAGAATGGATTGTTGATGGACTCGTGGTTGGATGGGAATGAGGACTTATTCCTTCTTGCCCCTATATTTTCACTTGCACAAAAATGTGACGAGGCAGGGGAGCGGTGGGAAACAGAAATCACTGTTTGTTGGCTTGGTTCTCCTGCTTTATAAATTAGTCCAATTCTATTTGATAGCCTCCCAATTAAACCAATAAATTGGATGAGTCAGTGGTTCTGAAATAAAAATGAAACCACACCATATTAATATGATGATTAGTCACATCACCAAAATAGAGACAATTTGTAAGGACTGTTTTCAAAGCCCTAAGTAGAAACAGAACGCAATAGGATGTGCAAACATTTGGTGACGGTATTTGGCATTGGAGGAAACCATTCGTGCAATTACCTTTAGATTCTAAGCAGATTGGAAGCAAATAGTACCTATGTTCCTCATGTTTTTCTGGACTTAGCTGCTTGCTGAATTAGTGGGGTTATGTGCATTTCTGAACAGCTCTGTACTTGTCTATTTGACCAGAGGTAAAAAGGAAGTGGGCATTCACACCAACCCACTTTATTTATAGCTCTGCTTTGGCAGTGTTTTATAAAGGGTAGTCACTCCCTTACATCCTGAAGGTAAATGCTATTACACTTTGATTGTAACTACCACTGGGTGAAGATGTCCAAGTAAGCATGGGTCTCCACTGACAAATGCATGGCATAAATTTCTTACACATCTTACCTTTTTTAATGAATGTTTAGTAACAATCCACCAGTTTCTGTACAAAGTTCAGGCACTATTTCATTTACTAGTATGAATAAGCAAAGAATAAGATCAATTTTAGTTCAAGTAGAAAATTGACTGTTGCTTAACAAAGAAAGACTAAAGCTCTTTGTGAAGAACTTCAAACTGTTTTTCCAAGCTAACCTGTTTTTCTTTTGTGTCCATTCTCTCTGTGAAGCTAAGATGAAGTGAAGTCCAATTTTATTGATCTTTTGGGTGAACAGCTATTGGACAGAGATGAGCCAAAGTAGATTTCCTATGATAGTGTTCCTCAAAATGGTGTTCAGAATTTCTTGAGATACTTGTCAATATGAAATTCCCAAGCTCCATTCAGTATCTACTGAATCATGTCTACGGTGGTTGCCTAGTAACCTGTATCTTTTCAGGTTCACCCAAGTGAATCTGACTAAGTATGAAGACCAGTGAGCAAACTGGTCTTCCATTTCCCGAGTTCAACTCTTCCTTTTATCTCAGCATTGTATTTGTAGCCTATTCTAGCTCTGGAAGCAGGAGACCCAATTCATTTAGCTTAGTGGGCCACTCTTAGGTCCTATACACTGTATTTATTGCTAATCTTAAACATCTACCAGCTGATTAAACAATTCCTCTTGGGAACAGGTAGCAATATTGAGTAATATTTAAGAGCACAGACTCTGGAGCGAGACTGCTTGGGTTTCGGTCTCTGCATGCGAATTTAAAGTGTTGATATACAGACAAGCATGTGTGTTCTTGGCCAGGTTGCTCTATGATCTTAACATCTCTAGACTTTGATTTCCTCAAATGTAAAGCTAGGGTAGCCATAATAACTGACTTCATAAGGTTATCTTTGAGATTAAATGAATCGATTAAATGAATTGGTCCTTGGGATCTGTTCTTTTCATCTACAATTGCTCCTTTTGTTATTTTGTCCAGTTTTCTGGCTAAAAATACTACCTAAATGCTGACAGCTCTCAAATTCCTATCTTTAGTCCATTCCTCTCCTGAACTCCAGGCTTACATATCCAACTTCTTGAGACTCTTTACTTGGATGTTTACTAAAACATCTCAGACTTAATATTTTCAAACTGAACTCCTGATCACATCTGAACAAATCTTTTCTGCCTGCAGTGGTCCCTTTTTCAGGTGTTGACAATTTCCTCCTTCCTCCCCTGGCCAGAAACCTTGGAGTCATTCTTGACTCACACTCCACATACAATGCATCAGGAAATCCTATTGGCTCTATTTTTAAATTCTGCTCAAAACCCCATCTCACTTCATCGCTTCCACAGCTACCATACTGATCCAAGCCACTATCATGCATTGTGTAACAGTCCCCTGCTCCCACTTTTGCCTCTGACACCCAGATCTGTTCTCCATACAGTAGGCAGTCTAATTTCCATAAGAATTTAGGTCAGATCCTATCACGCCTCTGTTCATACTTTTCCAAGGACTCTCCATCTCAGCATAAAAGGATCCCTACGGTACGTATTGAATGGAGCAATGGGTGTTATATGCAAACAGTGAGTCATGGAACACTACGTCAAAGACTAATGATGTAATGTATGGTGATTAACATAACATAATAAAAATTAAAAAAAAAAAAACCTAAAAAAAAGGGGGGCTCCTTACAGTGGCCTGGAAGGCCGTTCATCATCAGCTCTTCTGTTTCCTCTCTGACCTTACTCCTGCTGCCTTCTCCATGCTCAGCAGCCTTCTTGCACTTGAACTTGATGCTTGAACTCACCAGACCTCAAGGTCTTAATGCTGGCTGTGTCTTCTGCATGGACTGCTCTTCTCCCACATACCTGCATAGATAGCCAGTTTCCTTCAAGTTTTGTCCAAGTGTTGTCTTTTCTGTGGAGCCTTCATTAAGTAGCTGTTTGAAATTGTAATCCCCTTCTACCTTTGGCCCTTCTGATAGGCCTGACCTCTTATCTGCTCATAGTCATCTTTAATATACTATATATTTTACTTACTTATCATTGTGATTGTTTATTAAATATCTCCTTCCGCTAGAATCGATGCTTCAAGAGGATATTTGTTTTTTCTGTTCATTGCTGTACCCCTAATGCCCTAAAACAGTACATGGCATATAATAAGTGTTCAAATATTTGTTGAATGGATGAATGCATGAACAATTTGGACTTGATTCGAACATGGTTTATAACTTCCCACAGGATTCTGCCTTGGCTCTTAGGATATTTAACATTTTTTGTCACACTGTTGGTTAGGAATATTTTGGTTACCAGGCTGAAAAATCCTACTAAAATTTAATCACAAATTTGGCACACACAAATGAAAAGTTCAGAAGAATGCTAACTTCAGGTAAGGCTTGATCCAGAGCTCAGCCGGGCCACCCTTGTTCGACAGTCTCTCTGCTCCACTTTGTATGTAGACCCAGCAGCTGTTTGCAGGCTCTTCATTTGTGGTGGAAAACGGACTAATGTATTACAGGGTTTCACATCTCCTTAAGTCCTCAGGAAATATATCATAACCTCTCATTTGGTTGGTTTGGATTCCATGCCCAACCCTGAGTCTATTCCCTGTACTCAGTAAGATGGACTGCCTGGTGGACTCAAGCCAGTTAGAGCCTAACTCTGATGTTGAGGGAAGGATGGGTACTACCCACATGACTTGAGGGTGACAAGGGGGAAAGCCAGGGGACTGTTGGCAGAAGAAGGGAAGAATGGTTGGTTGATGGGGAGACAGCTGATGGCCTGATATAACAGTAATGAGTACATGCTTATTAAGTTAAATATGATAGCATAAGGTTTGGGGATTCAAGCCAAAATAACATATGGAAGAACTGATGGATTTCTTCATTCATTCAAGAAGTGGAATAGCATCTGCAAAAGCACAGAGGTATGAAAATGTTTGACATGTTTGGATTGCTGTGAGGAGTTGGTGTGAAGTGGGTGAAAGTAATATATTACAATCTTCTCAGCGCTGCAGCAGAAGCCTGAACCTAACTCTCATTGGTCCAAGTTGGAGTATTTTTTTGTGCTTGGCCCAATCACTGCTGAGAGGGGGATGGAGTATGCCAATTAGCTCAGGCCTTAAAGGCACACACACATACACAGAGCAGATTGGATTCAGAAAAAGAAAAAAATAGGGTTTTCTTAACAGAAGAAAGGGAAATTGATGCTGAGAAGGTATCAGAAGCAGAGAAAGATGTGTAAATCCTCTCCAAATAGACCTGTGAACCAAGATAGATCAATACGACATAGTCACAATTTTAAAGTTATATGACATTGAATGTGGTGCTAATGTGAGATACAGTGTGAGAATTGCAAAACTCCCTGCCTGTTCTTCTTAGAAACACCATTCTGATTCCACTTATCAGCTATTGAGTTATATGTGAGTCCTTCCAAGGGCCATGAGCACAGAAATAAGACCAGAACAGCAGGTGACCGGGCACAGTTGAGTCCTCTCCTTGAAGGTAGCCTTTTCTTTATTTTCATCTTAGGATTTAAGGAATACTTTGGAGGAAAGAAAGTCTAAATGTTAACTAAATTACGGGATTGGTTGTAAATTTTGTCTTTAGCTCTCTGCTTGTGGATCTAATCAGGGAATTCAGGAGTGTAATTTGAAGGTCTGAGCCTTCTAGAGTCCGTTTCATTCAGCCCCTAAGACACCACTCCACGTCCTTCTCTTCAGTGCCCAGTGGAATATGATATGGACCACCATAATATAATACTCTACTCTTCTTGGCATCCCAGATTTAGAGAAGGAAATGTGACTGTCTGATTTAGGGTGTTGATGGCCAGAGGAGTGGGGAAAGTGAGGATTAATGCATGAGACTTTGTCCTTGGGAAGAACATTCAGGACTGCCTTAGAGCTCTCAGAGCAGGTGTGCTTGTGGGTGAAAGCAGACACCAGAGTGTCTCTTCGTGCCTGTTCCAAGACTCCA